AAATAATCAACATGAAATAATGAGATATTTTGTCATTAACAAAATTTGTAATAGATATTCTTTTAACTAATCATTTATCACAATCAACAATATGTTTTGTTCGCTTTCAATAAAAATTAAAATTTTGAGAACTATAAGTTTTCATGTAATTCTGAGCAAAGTGATGATTAGGTATGAATAATAGTTCGAAGGTTTTACTTATGTATTGGATATTTGTATTTTTTGTTTATGTGAAAGTGGTGATGACAATTAGATTGATTTTGAAATTTTTTTGTACAATTGGTAATACTTGTTATTTTTTATTAGTCACTTATTTTTTTTATTGGTGATTAGATTAGACTTTGTTTTTTTTTTCTTTTTTGAGAACTACTGGTTTTCATATAGTAGTGATTTATTTTTTGTATGAATAATAACTTTATGATTTTATTTATGGATTGTATACTTATATTTTTTATTTGTGTGGAAATGGTAATGACGATTAAATTGGTTTTGAATTTAACTACATATATATATATATATATATATATATATATATATATATATATATATAAAGAGAGAGAGAGAGAGAGAGTTATATGAGAGATAAGGGTGTTAGAGTTAAGTCCAATTATAATCGTCGGATCCTAATTTTTGAGATAATCTGAACCGTTTTTTATGTTGAGATTACATTATCCGTTGAATGTGTTTATTTTTTGTTTCAAAACAATCTGAACCTCTCTTTGTCTTTTGGATTCAAATTTCGTTCTACTTTATTATATAGATTATGTCTAAAATAATGTTGGTAATTTATTTGTCCTCGGCTCTAACAACTATATCATATAGAAGTAGAGATAAATCACTGACTAACAAAAAGATCTTATCTGTCATTCATTAAATTAAATAAGCAGCAACTAATAATTAGCTGTTGTAGAGCTAATAGTGTTGAAATGATTAAAAAAAAACATTTAACATTTAATTTAGTTGTGCCTTTAATTTAGTTTATTTATTGCATAATTCAGATTTTAAATTGGATGATAGTTGAAGCATCAATATTTGTTGGTTGGGAGCTTTCCCTAATCATGAAGTTTGGTTCTTGTTTGTTTCTCCTCTTCTCCAGAATAATCCAATTTTTTTTCTTTCATTAGTCAGTTTCTCTAATATTTACCTCTCACAAATCCCGCCATAGACGAGAGTTTTTGTAAACTAGTACGATTTTCTTTTAAATAACAAAATTTGTAAAATATTGTAAGAAATGTATTTCAATGGATTTAATCAAGTATGGCTTTGTGTCGTTTTTTACAAAACAACTATTGGATGCACCATCACTTTCAAATTCAAGTGCACTAGAAAAATGAAAGTCGAACTTGAAATGTCAAAATAGAAACTTTTTTGCACCAAAAAAAAATTATAGAAACTTTAAAAAAAAATCATTGGAACTACCCCGACGAGTTACCTTACCATTTGGCAATTGAAAGAAAACGACACTTGCATAGTGTTGAAAGAGAAGAGAGGATATTACGGGATTTGTTTTTATTCGTGGGTTGATTGTTAAGACTACGCTTTTGGTATTCTTTTTATTAACAGTTATCGAATTAGATTGTACAATTAGTGACATTCTATGATCATTGTCTCCCTATATGTTGTTATTGTGATCTCTCTTGAGACACAATCAATAAAAATATCTCCCTCTCTTCTCTCATGCACGTAGGTTGCTACCCTAGCAACCGAAACACGTAAATCATTGAATTCTTGTTTATTTCTTTCACATAGTGTATCGGTGGGTATATAAGAAATTAATTATTTTATATTGCACTATTTGGATAGTTCAGCTCGTTTGAATTCAACTGTTACTCTTACAATTTACATTTTAACCTTTTTTAGTCACAAGAAACTTCTCAATTATATTTACTGTCTATCTACATTAAATATTATAACTACACTAAATATTTGGTTGTTGGAGAGGGGGGTCAATAACTCTTGTTGTGCAACAGTCTCTGTCTACCATGCATAATGGGCCTGGTCATATAATGGAAGGTCGCCCCTATACGAGATGTGGCCTCTGCCCATTATTGCGGTTTGTATGTATTTTCTTGGAAAAATAGAGGGTCGGCACATAATATTAGAATTATTAGGAAAAAGAATATACTTTTTAAATACATTTGTAAAAAAATTTATCCATTATAGCGAAAGTCCAGAATAACTCTTTTTAAATTTGAAAAGTTTCCTACCTGTTTAAGAAAACCAACGAAAAGAATAGAAAGATACAACAACTGTTCGCATATCTCCAACATTGGCGCCGAAGTTTCCATGCTTTGAGGATAAAAATTTGAAATTCAAACAGTACACAAATATCTATCCCAAACACCATTTTTTGGGTGTAAAAAAATATATTATTATTGAAGGTTTCACTCTGAAGAATACACACCATTAGGATTTATTGAAAATGAGGGGTTTAGTCATTGTAACATCAATATCACAATGCTTGTAAAATATATACGTAGGGTTGGACAACTGTGGACATTATAATATAACATCAATGTCCACTGTATACACATAACATAAACAGGTTTTAACACATAAAAAATATCACAGTGTGACTTAGAGATTGACACACTACAAGCATCATAAATGTGGCATCAATGTCACACTATATATAGACACTATATACAGCGTTTGCACAAATGTCACAAATATGGATAATATCACACTATGACTCAAATGTAATATTTCATACACACATCACATAAAATTCAAAAAACATAGTGAGTGTCACAGTGTAAATCCAATGTCACAATGCAACTACACATCATATGCATTATTTTTTCATTGTGTGGGTATCAAATGTATGACTTCGATGTCACACTACAAAATAAACATCAGATGCAATGTTTTGCATACGGTGGGTATTATGACTTAATTGTAATATTGCATAAACAGAGAGAAAAAATAAAGGGGGGAGAGAGAGATAATAGGGAAAGGAGAGTACGATAGAAGAGAGAACGAGTTTGAGAGAGAGATTATCGGTGAGAGTCAGATATATAGAGAGAGAATATGAAATATTTTTAAAATTAATGGAATCCTTTCAACATTCAAACGGTTAATTATCATTTATTTTAGGAAACCACTTAGCCAATAAAATATAATTAAAAAGAAAAAAAGAAAATTATCTCAATAAAATAGAAAACTGAATTCCACAATTAATTGCCTAAATTATCTTTCACGAATAAAGGAAAAAAAATTTACGTAAATAAAATATCTAAAAAACAGCCAAAATGTATATGTTCACAAAATATTTACATAAAAAATGACTTATACAAAAAAAAATTATATTAACATATTTTCTCATAAATAAGTAGTGTATAGTATATCTTTTCACAATTTTCATTATTTTTTTCGGTTCTTCGTAAATATAGTGTCAAAGAAGTCCATCAAAGCCCAACAGTGACAGAAGCTGGGCTCAGGTTTGAAGCCTAATTTTACATTGGACCTAGTCTTAGGCTTCTGCATATTGTATTGGCATTATGTAATGAGCTCAAGGACGATAGGTTCACATTTTTTCCCATTCGGATATTTGGCGGTGGTGGGCAATAGAGTGAGATTTAATAACTTTATTACAGTAATTAAATTTTTAATTAAGTTTTTATTGAGTATATTATTATTTTTTATTGAGCATGTTAATGTTTGATATTACTATTTTTAGTAAGTATGTTACTGTTTAATATATATATATATATATGTGAGTGTGTGTGTGTGTGTGAGAGAGAGATACTCCCTCCATTCTTAAATATATGTCGTTTTACATAATTTTTTTTATTCCATAATATCTATCGTTTAATGAAACCAAAACATAATTAATATTTTTTCTTCCAAATTTACCCTTAACTTTTGAATGCATTAGATTAGGTGGAGGTTAAATGTCTTTCATATTTCTTTTATTCCCAATACGTATTGAATAAGGATATTTTAGTCTTGTACAATTATTTTTTACTTATATTAGAGCTATTTAATAGCTTCCTTAATCCCTGTGCAAAAACCTTAAACGACAGATATTTAGAAACAGAGAGAGTAAAAACATAATTTTAATGCTAGTACAATTTTCAAGTTAGGAGTTGTTAATATAAATACAATTTAGGAGTTATTAGTTTTTCAAACAAGTTTTGATTAAATATAACTATTGAGGATATTTTGAGATAATAAATATCAAAATAAACCTATTCTCACACAAATTTTTTGAGTGTACTTAAGTCCAAATAAGTCTACAAAAAAGAGACCGACGTCCAAAAGACACTTCCCATTTTGTAGGCCTGATCAAAGGCAGGCCCAGCCCAAAAATTCCAGCTTGCACCTAAAATAACAGCCAATAAACTTCGCAACTAATTGAAGGCATTAAATTACCTTTATACCCTAGTTTACATGAATAAATACTTCTATCTACCTTGACTCCACTGCCCCGGCCCAAACCCACGAAACGTCAAACGGGTGGAATGAACCCGGTAGAAGTGCCCTAACCCTAACCGAAGCCTATTCCTAATAATCTCACAATCCAAGGATTTCAAGTAATTATCAAAATTTAAATTTAAAATATTTAAATTTATAACTTGTCTTTATTACTGTTTAAACTAATATTTGATTAAATTCATTATTTATATATAAATCCTACACATGGTTTAAAATAGGCAATTCGATTACAATGTGTCACTTATAAACAAATTTAATGGACAATTTTATCCCTCGTATTTCCCCATATATTTTCAATTAGAGTCGAAACTAAACCCTAATTAAAATGGACAATTCGATTACAATGCGTCACTGCTACAACTTCCCCAAAACGAATTTTGTGGACAATTTTACCCTTCATATTTCCCCATATTTACTTTATAAGCTTCCAAACCAAGCCCTAATTAACCTACACGTAGGACTCACTAACTCGTTATAACCGGTTACCAGTCCATCGAACGACTCTCTCCACACCCTTCGCCTCCCCCTCCACCCCCTCCTCTCTTTTTCTCTCCCTCTCTAGTGTTTTATATCCCCATATGTACACTAACGATAATCAACAATACATAAACTCTCTCTCTCTCTCTCTCTCTCTCTCTCTCTGTATTTTCACATCCTTTGAGAGAAGGAATGTTCTACATGTAACAGTTCAACAATCATATGTTTACAGATACGTATAATCACACACACATACACACAATATACACACACAAAAGCTTCAAACGAAGTAAGTACTTCATTGTGAATTCAAAGCTTTTGCTATTCGCCGACTTGAAGATCTTCGTATTTCACCTGTAAATTCTTTTATCTTTAATGAAAAACATTGTTATTATAGTGAGAAATTCGATATCATCGCTTGCTTTATATTCAAGTAAATGAGAAGTTATTTTATTTTATTTTGTAGGATTTGGATATTGTGAAGGTGATCTGCTACGAGGTATGAAGTCTTTTTAATTATTGTTATAAATTTTTGATTTTATATTTTTGTGTTGGATCTATTGTGTCATGTTTGGCTATTTTTTGGTTGATGAGAAAATTTTAATTTTTTTAATAGGAGAATTAAGAGTGATTAAAGCATGACTTGTTGAAGATTAAGAAGAGTTAATTGAGAAAGATAAGAGAGGATGAAGAGGTCTAGAGATGATGTGTACATGAGTTCTCAGCTCAAACGCCCCATCGTCTCTTCTCGCGCCGAACCGTAAGTCCTCTCTCTCTCTCCCTCTCCCTCTCCCTCTCCCTCTCTAGTATTCTGTTTTTTTTTTAAATAAAAATTACGCCTAGGATCTTTGATTATCTCTTGATGAGTTGTTGATTCTGAAGAATTAAATGTGTGGATAATGGGATGAGAAAATGCTTAATCATGTTAATTTTTTCATTTCTCATGTGAGTTTTTGCTTGGCGTCCGAGAGTCTTTGAAAATTTTTGTCATTTTCCAAGTTTAATGTTGTGAGGTATGTTGACTTTGAATTAAGAGAAAGAGCCAATTTTTGCCCAACTTTTCCTTCTTAAAATATTTATGAGTTATGATCTCTATGGGTTTAAGCTCGAAGTAAGGATTTTATCGTCATATGGGCGCATTAGTGATCTCTCTTTGCTGGAAAAATAAATATAGTTCTTTAGTTTAACATGAGAAATTGTTATCTGGATATTGATTTATGCAAGGTTTTGATGGTTCCTTTGATTGAATTTATTATTTCATCTTTAATTTTGTTGGACAATGAAGCTCTGGGCACTCTGGGCTACCCCAGATGACGGGTGGGAGCAGCACACAGAAACTAACAACAAGTGATGCCCTATCGTATCTAAAATCAGTCAAGGACATATTTCAAGATAAAAGGGAGAAATATGATGAGTTTCTTGAAGTCATGAAGGCTTTCAAGGCTCAAAGGTTCAGTTGTATTCTTGTTTGTTTTAGTAATTTCTAGCAATGTTTATCTGGAACACCCGTTGATTTTTCTGAATGAAATTTGTTTGTAGAGTTGACACAACTGGTGTTATAGCAAGGGTGAAGGAATTATTTAAAGGGCATCGGAACCTAATTTTGGGTTTCAATACCTTTTTGCCGAAGGGATACGAGATTATCCTGCCCCCGGATGAACCACTTCCGGTGAAGAAGCCTGTGGAATTTGAAGAAGCAATCAATTTTGTGAACAAAATCAAGGTGAAAACATCATGGCCTAGCTGAATTTTTCATTTTTGTTTCGCCTTCTAGGGATTTCGTCTAATGTATTCCTTGCTCACAGATGAGATTTCAAGGTGATGACCGTGTGTACAAATCTTTTCTTGACATTTTGAATATGTACAGAAAAGAAAACAAATCCATTGATGAGGTCCACCGGGAGGTATGCTGTTGCATTTTCTTGTCATCAACCTCTTTAATAGGTTATCCGAGTTTCTGCATATTTTCTTTAGCCTTTTCATTTTTAGGTTACTAGAGTTTTGGCTCTTAATTTTGTGGTTAATTTCCATGTTTTCGCAGGTTGCTGCTCTTTTCCGTGAGAATGCAGACCTTCTTGTGGAGTTCACTCATTTTCTACCTGATGCTTCGGCAGCAGTCTCTGTTCATTATGCTCCATCTGGTAGGAATCCTACATTGGGTCGTGATGATAGGGGTTCACCCATGACCATGATGAGGCCTATGCATGTTGACAAGGTGGTTTCTCCACCCATAGGGTTTGTAGTTTCTGACATCTAAAGGTATCTAAGCTGATATCCTGTTCTTGTGCACTGTTGACAGAAGGTTACTGCTTCACATGCTGACCGTGACCTCAGTGTTGACCGGCCAGATCCAGACCATCATAAAACACTAATGAGAGCTGACAAAGAGCAGCGGAGGCGTGGTGAGAAAGAAAAAGAAAGAAGAGAAGACAAAGACCCTACAGAACGAGAGCGGGACAATAGAGACTTTGATCAAGATCGTCCTCTCCACAAAAGAAAATCGGCTCGTAGGGAAGACTCTGTTGATGACCAATTTCGCCAAGGTGGGGAAGGCACCGAAAACTTTGGAACGACACCTGGCTCATCTGCTTGTGATGATAAAAGTGCCTTCAAAAGTGGGTACTTGTGCTATTTGGGTGTTTATTTGGCGTTTTTATTTTGAACTGTGAGACTATCAAATTTAATTCATTGCATAGATAAATGAAGCTACTTTCTGTAGTAAAGAGGCATCTCCTCACTTCAATGCCGAAGCTCTATTCCATTCGTGGTTTTTTTTTTTTGGTCATAATCTCCATAATCAGCACAGTTAGACTTATATGAGCTCTTTGTCATGTATGAGCTTTCTGCTTCTCCATGTTGGGCACTTACTTGCACTTGTATTGATAGGCTTTTTTTGGGGAATACTTTTATGTGAGTTCATATCACCGCTGTCAGGGTGTATTTGTTTAATTATTGATTGTTGATAAGTTGAAGAGGTGTCTGTTTATTGATGATGTGCTGTGTGATAAGAATATGATTTTGTTCAAATAGTTTAAAGTGCTTGTTCAAGTACATCATGGCGTGTTTTCTGAGTCTCGTTCTGTTTCAAAAGTGAGGCTTTGGCCTCTCAGTTCATAAAATGCTGCTAATCGTGTAGATCTGCATAATTCATGCATCATTTAATAAGATATATGAGTTGCTCAATACTGCTGTTGCACATTTTACATGATTGGTGCTTTTGTAGTTGAGGGTATCTGTTCTGACTTCTGACATAAAATTGGAACAATATCCTAGAATTTGTTACTAACTTGGGGAGCTTATTTTTCCATGGTATTTGTAACTATCTAGGGGAAATTATAGGACTAGAAAATTTGGGCCTAGCTTTCTCTGAAAGTGGTAAATGTGGTGAGATGATTTTTGCCTTTGTGCTTTATAACTGAACCTTCTATATGCTTTAATGGATCTCAAGCCTGATAAGAGCTCTTTATTTCCCCTATATCAACTTTAAAAATCAAGAAGATTGTTTAAACTTTTTTCTGTTCTTTGTCTCCACTTTTACATAGAAATATTGCAAGTCAATGAAAGTGTGCCTTATATGGCAGAGTTGAAAGTTACAACTTTGAAAGAAATGAAAAGAAAAGGAGTAGAGAGGAAGAGGCATATTGCAAAATAAGTTTTTAGCCTGTGTCCTTCAACTTATCCCTACAGCCATGTATATATATTGAACAATTACTCATGGAAGTAATGTAGTATTCCTTACCTCCAACTCCAATATACTAAGCCACAAAGAATACTCTGTTATTTTATATTGGAAATTCAACATCTGTAGACCACATCAACTTCCTTTGCAGTCAACAGGATGCCACTCAGCCCCCCTTCCTCTTTCTTTCTATATGGGTATGTGTATGTACTTGATATAGAGATCTTTCTCTCTTTTCTATTTTTCATAAGTAGTCTGGTAGAAATCACAAGAGATATTTGGAAACACCTCTGCTACAATTAGCTTTCATGATTGCTGGCGTATATATATTTGTGCTTCCCATTTTTATTATCACGTATAATCCTCCTTATTGTTTCTGTGTCACTAGGATCTTAGTTTTTGTTCGTGATTACAACTTAATTTACTTTATCTTTTTATTTCATTAAGCGATTTGGTTCTCTATACAAGAGTCCTTTTGCATTTTGATTAGATTTAGTCACCATTCCTTATTTCTTCTAATTTTTGTTGGGGCAGGTATGCATGACCAAGAGTTTGCTTTTTGTGAGAAGGTGAAGGAGAGAATACGTGATCCTGATGATTACCAAGAATTTTTGAAGTGCCTTCATATCTACGGCAGAGAAATAATTACGCGATCACAATTGCAATCACTGGTATGACTCATAATTTTTCATGCTTTTGAATATCATTGTTGGAGTATTTGCCATTCAAGAAGCAAGGTTATCAAGCGTGGCTCAAATTGAATATGCAGATGAATGATTGGTGAAACAAGAAATGATAGAATTAGGAAATATATTTTTTAATGGTATAATCAGCATCAATAGGAGAGAATTGAGATAATTGACTAAGATTGTTTAGACATGTTTAAAGAGGTTCATATTGTGCTAGTGAGGAAGAGGGTTCTGATACTTATTTATGGTAATGGTAGGGTAGAGGAAGTTTAACGTTGATTGATTAAAGAAGTATGTAATAGTTTGTGAGTTAATAGAAAACATGGGCCTAGAGGGAGTATAGTTGTGAAAGTGTGGAACAATATTCATATAGCTGATTCCTATGTTGGGGACAAGACTATGTTGAGCTGAGTTGAATTGATTCTAATTTTCTATTTATTTGGGCACTCAATCATCATCTTTTGTTTCAATATGTCGTTTGATATAGTAGGTTTTTGTTTGAGTGATATGATGCCACATTCAGTTACACTGTTTTTATTGCAGGAGTATGAGAAGAAACTATACTTTAATTGTTTCTTAATTAGGAAAAGGCACTAGAGATAACCGCATACTTTCCTGGAAAGTCTATAGGCATTTTAAAGTTGTTTCAGACGGATATTCACATACTATTGATGTAAAAACAGAAAAAGTATTAGAAAAATATCATACAAACACAGTTGTTAAGATGAGTTCTGAGTGATATGTCTGTCCATGGCCTATCTTTTGGCTCAAGGCCATATACTGAATACCACTAAAGATGTTGAAAGAAATTGCTAAGCATGAGATACTTATTTCCATGATATATTGTGCATCATTTGCATCAGGTGGGTGATCTACTTGGGCGATATCCAGACCTCATGGAAAAGTTCAACGAATTTTTGGATCGATGTGAGAAGATAGGTAGTTGTTCATTTTTTTCTATTTCTTTTTATAGCTGGATTCCTGCTTTTAAGCTGTCTTCTCTGGATTCTGCGTTTGCTGATTTAATATTGTTACACCTTTCCCGCAGATGGTTGTCTTGCTGGTGTTGTGAGCAAAAGTAAGTAAAATGATGTGATTTGTAGTCATATTTATTTAAGATGCTCCTCTTGGCTCATCATCACAATGGGTGTTCAGGCAGTATATCACTCAGGCATCACATGAATTAGAGGATATGACTGATTTCAAATTTAAACCATATTTCAGTGCCTCGAAATATACTGAAGTTGAATACAGTTTGCAAATCATACTGCTGTTTTTTTATTCCATGCAGGATCCTTGTGGAACGATGGCCATTTACCCAAATCAGTGAAGCTAGAGGATAGGGGTAGAAATCGAGATCATGAGAGGGAAGACAGAGATAAAGACCATGACGACAGAGAAAGGAATAGATCTGACAGAGGTTTTGGGAGTAAAGATATAGTTGGACAGAAGATGCCTTTATATTCAAGCAAAGATAAGTATATGGCAAAACCCATTCAAGAACTAGACCTCTCTAACTGTGAGAGCTGCACACCCAGTTATCGGCTTCTGCCGGATAATGTAGGAAATTTCTTCATCAAATTTATCAACATCTATAATATTCCTCTTAGAAAATTTCTCATTCATGTTGCCTTGTTTTTTTGGATACAGTATCCAATTCCTTTAGCAAGTCAGAGAACAGAGGTTGGTGCTGAAGTATTGAATGATCATTGGGTGTCCGTCACTTCAGGAAGTGAGGACTATTCTTTTAAACACATGCGCAAAAACCAGTATGAAGAAAGCTTGTTCCGATGTGAAGATGACAGGTTGGAAACTGCCTTGAGATCATCTAACTGTTATGATCTTTTACCTGTGTTCTCTTTCTTATATTATACTTGACATGAAGTCAAAGGTTTTCTGTTGTCTCTTCCTTCGTTATTTAATTGCTTTCATTTTCTGTTTCCTTCCTTATGAGGCTTCAGTGTAACTTAGTAATTTACCTCTCCACTTAGTTATGTGAGAGCTTTTGCCATCACTAAATAATTTTCCTTAGTAAGACGATAGTTATGTGAAGGAACTTGTATCTTTATTTTCTCACTTCTCACTCTCTTTTGCTCGATTAATTGCTTGAAATATACATTTGTTTGATGTGGTTGTTATATTGTATTTGGCAATTGGTAATGTTATCATGATGTCAGGTTTGAACTGGACATGTTGTTAGAATCTGTGAATGCAACCACTAAATGCGTTGAAGAACTACTCGACAAGATCAATGACAATGCAATTAAGCCAGACAGCCCGATTTGTATTGAAGACCATTTTACAGGTGATAAAACAATAACTGGCTACTGGTTGCTCAAGATATTCATATATGCTGTCATGTTGAATGTTTTTCTCTTTGTTGTTATTGTAGCTCTGAATTTAAGGTGCATTGAACGTTTGTATGGTGACCACGGACTTGATGTGATGGATGTATTAAGGAAGAATGCACCTCTTGCCTTGCCAGTTATATTAACACGCTTGAAACAGAAACAAGAAGAGTGGGCAAGGTGTCGTTCTGATTTTAATAAAGTTTGGGCTGAAATCTATGCAAAGAACTATCACAAATCACTCGATCATCGTAGCTTCTATTTCAAGCAACAGGACACGAAGAGCTTGAGCACTAAAGGTAATTTAAGACTGTCAGTTTGTATACAACAGTGACAACATTAATTTTCCTGTTTATGAACCTAATTAATTGTTCTTTTAGATATTTGCCAATATTGAGGTCAATTTTGTCTTTGCATGCATGTAATCTAAAAGAGAAGGTGAATGTTCTAATAACATCAATGTGTGGGTGGGTTCAGAAATCCATATTCAGCAGAGGGGTTTTTTATATAGAAGGCAGAAAATGTTGGGTCAACTTGGAAATTATTGAACTTAACATAGAGGTAAAATTCTTTGATTCACTTGAGTGCATTTATTATCCTTGGAGCTACTCGGACTTGACGATGGAGAAATCATTAGAAAAGGGTAAATGATGCTAAACTCCCCCTCCCCTCTTTCTCTATCTTACGTTTCCTGGCCCTCCACAATCATCTTTCTTGGTTTCTAGGGTTCAGCAATGAAGCAACTCAGTAGTAAAGGTATGGTGATGCTAATCCCTCCCTCCTCCGCTCCCCTCCTCCTCCTCTCCTTCTAAAAAGAGGGCATAGGGTTTGCTTCTCTTTTAATCTTTTTGCCTCATCGTCCTATGCAACCTCTATTGGCATGCAAATTACTCAAATTATTGCTATCAATCACTTTCCCAGTTGATCGTCAATGAATTTGTCCGTTGGTAATTATCTTTCTATATAGAAAGAAACATTTAGTATGCAAAAAAAAAAGGCTTAAAATTGTAACAATAGGTAATTTTAACTGGGAATGGAAAAAAAGGAAAAACAAAAATAAAAGCTGGGGGCCATGTTAATATTTGATTTCATCCACCCACACATCCATTCTAAATTAATAGCATTTGTGCATGTGCTAAAATTTGAATCCTTGGAGTTGTTTACATTTAAGGAGATCTGGGATCAATATGTTCTTGTTATTTTGACTCACCCCCTTTCCTAATTTTTTTTTTTTTTACAAAAAATGTGCAACTGATTGCATGACTACTTAAAACCTGAATTTTTGAAATTGTTGACATTGAGTCTGTTAAGCTTATGTATTATAATAGTTCCCCCCCCCCTCCTGGGCAATTTGAGGAGGGGTTGAATCTCTATGTCCTCTCTATTTGGTCACCTCCTTTTTCATTTTTGTGGATCCCGAAGGATATACGCAAATAATCGCCGAAATAATCTTGCTTCAGTTTTTGTTGAGGACGACAATAAATTTATGACAAGAGTGAAAAAACTTACCCCTCAAATTATTCTGGATCACTCATTTAGGCCCTCCTTTTACTTCTTTGAAGTTTTTATTTCAACAAATTTCCTCACTTTTTGAATCTCTCTGTAGTCATCATTTGCCTGGAGAAGTTTATTTATTTTATTTTATTTTGGTTCTTGAGCTGATTATGTCATACAAATCCCACTTGACATCATCAAGTGTCCAATTTTGGTTCTAGCCTAGTTGGTCACCTGACACTCTCACTAATAGAAGGTCGGGGATCAATTTTTGCTAAAGGTAAGGTGACCTCATGTGCCCTTCTCTGTGGATACCCTTCGACATGTCATTGCATATCCAAAAATAAGTATAGACTAGTATTCAGAATTTAGTTCCACTTCTTAGCTGATGTAAATCTACACATAATTGAAGCATAGAATGTTCAGAGTTGTGAGCTCTAATCTCCATAGTATGATGCCTAGAGTTTTCATAATGGAATATAGCTCTCCTATCCCAAATGAAGTGTTTTTTAGCATGTCTACCTTAAAATGCTCCGATAATGTGGGCTTCTGAAAATGCAAAGTTTTCTGTTGATTTCTGTATATTCAGGTATATTTTTGTGGATTCTTTAAGTGTTTGGACATCCACCGAGTTCAACCTACTAACTGAAGACACAATTTAGTATTGTGATACACACTTCTAACCAGATAATACAAATAGGAGATCATTTCAGTGTAACTTTTTGAATTGTTTTACATTGTGTAACTTGAGAAGCTACAGTGACAACTAAATTAAAGAAGGGAAGATCAAATTTGGATTATATTCACTATTGTGATTACAAGACCTCATTCATCTACCATGAACTCCTCTTATGCATCATTTTTGTGTTTTTTTCTCATGCAGTATTATTGGCCGAGATCAAAGAAATCAGTGAAAACAAGCTCAAAGAGGATGACATGCTCCTATCTATTGCTGCTGGAAATAGACGACCTATCATTCCAAACATAGAGTTTGAGTATCCTGATTCAGACATCCATGAAGACTTGTATCAACTAATCAAATATTCCTGTGGGGAAGTTTGTACAACTGAACAGTTGGACAAAGTCATGAAGATTTGGATGACCTTCCTGGAACCCATGCTTGGTGTTCTTTCTCGGCCTCAGGGTACAGAAGACACTGAAGATGTTATGAAGGCTAAAGCTCATGTTGCCAAAAGTGTGGCCACTAGTGTTGGAGAAAGTGATGGCAGTCTTGTTGACAGCGCCGCTATCCTTAATTGTAAACAATCAAATGCTTCTGGAGATGGAGATGAGAATACTCCACCTGAAAATTCAAGTTCCTCCAGAGCATGGTTACTAAATAGGGAGAATGGGGTTAAAGAGGATGGTTCTCATGATACAGATCATGCTGTACGTAGTGGTAATACGAGTAGTATACCTCAACATCAAAAGGTGCAGACGAATGCTCATGTGGCAGATGAAACTTCTGGGGTCAGCAAACAAGCAACTGCTAATGAACAACTAGCCAATGCAAGTATATCACTTGCTGCGGGAGCAGAAGAAAGTCATGAAAGAGTCAATGGAGAAAATACTTTAGGTTTGCCTATTGGCCTAAGTCTTGTAGAATTTATGTTTTCTTTTCAGTTGTCCTTGGCATGCTAGTTCTCAAATTTATGATTGGAAGTCTGAGATACACTTTTCCATTTCTAGGGCTTTGTGCTACTACTTCCGGACCTGGTAATGCGGCTGTTAAGGGTGGGCTTGAGAGTAAACAGCATAATGAAATTTTATCTTCAACAGAGGTATAGTTAAAATTGTAATCACTAATTTATTGGTCATCATGTGGAGGAGCTTATTTCTCTTGGTCCATCCAATTGGTTATGCCCAAGAATCAAAATTTTGGCATAGTTTTGGTGAGCTTGGAAACAGACTTTTTGGTGAGCTTAGAAACAGGAATGTTTCGGTAATGTTTTGGAAATAAGATGGAAACAAAGACAAATTTACAAATTTATTTCCACAACATTGTTCAAAATATACCTAAACATTCCAAAACATAGATCAAAACATGACGAAACACCTCGAAACCTACCGAAACACCTTGAAACATAGGAATTTTGATATTCAAGCAATGATCGTTTCGATTTCCATAGAAGCGGAAACATTTTGGATGTTTTGCCTATTTCAAAACAAAAGTTAGTTCCTTGGTTATGCCTACCTAGTTTTTGGGTATGATGTTGTTTTTCCTTGTTCTCTCTTTGATAATAAGATGGTCTTTAATTTTAATTTTTTTTAGATGAAAGAATTGTCTTGTATATGTGAAGTAACAAATGGCTGGTTTGCAAAATACCTCACGTTTTTTACTTTCCCCAGTTATGGAAGTACTGGGTCTTCTTGCCATCTGGCTTTTAGATTACACAACTTTTTGGCTGTTATGTTGGTTTTGAGCTGTTTCAGATAAAGAACCACATGTATGTCCTCAAACCTCATATGAAAATTGATCTTTTCATTGTTTGATCTAATTACTGATAGTGATAACTATTTGAGTACATGTGAATAACGAAAGGGGTAGCTACAATTTAACTTTTTGAGGTGCAAAAGTTAGGATAACCAAGACATAGTTTGGTCTGGTTCATTGTGATCCTAAGTTTCTTAGGGTATGTTTGAGGATGTTCTGCTGGGTTGGTGTTGAATAAATTGGTTGATAGGCAATATATACAACATGCAGAACTAGTTTTGGTAAAGAAGAGGAGAATGGGGGAACTCTTTTACCTCTCATATAGATTTCTGTCAGCCTATGTGGTTTCTGACCGTCCGAACCTTCAATTATGGAGTTGGTCCCTTTTTAAGGCATTATGTAGCTTTTATAGGCCTTGTAAGCTTTTTTTTTATTTTTGGGGCATGGTGTTACAATTGTCTTGCCTCAGTTAGCATCAGCTGCACTTTGGTTCCTAATGTTCTAATTGCTACAAGTTGGCCCATGAACTATCAGTGTTACATCAATGCGATCCAGTCGGTTACAACCATTAGGAATTTGGATGGAAACAGTATGTATGCAGTGCCTTGCTTACAATCAACTCCTAAACTACCAGCCATGTGATACACATGTAACTGAGTGCATGTAGCAGTTTTGATCCTATGTTGAATCGGTTATCATTATATCTTGCCGTAAGGTAGTCTCACCATATTCAGTGCTGCAGGGTGGTGATTCTGTGATACAAATTTTATCTTCAAATGGGGCAATGGCAAAGAGTATCGGAGTTCAGAAATATCACGAAGAATCTGTCGAGCACTTTAAAATTATTGAAAGAGAAGAGGGTGAATTATCTCCAAATGGAGATTTTGAGGAGGATAATTTTGCAGCATATGCAGATGCTGGAGCAGAGGCTACAAATAAAACGAAGGATGGTTCCGTGAGCGGGCAATATCAAACCACAGATGGAGAAGAACGTTGTTGTGGAGAGGCAGGAGGAGAAAATTATGCTGATGCTGATGACGAAGGTGAGGAAAGTGCGCAGAGGTCATCAGAGGACAGTGAGAATGCTTCAGAAAATGGTAATGGCTCAGGTAGTGAGTCTGCTGATGGAGAAGATTGCTCCAGAGAGGAGCAGGAAGAAGACGGAGACCATGATGAGAATGATAACAAAGCTGAGAGTGAAGGTGAGGCTGAAGGGACGGCTGATGCCCATGACGTTGACGGAGATGGAATATTATTGCCATTTTCAGAGCGTTTTTTACAAACGGTGAAGCCTCTTACAAAGCATGTTCCTCCAGCATTACATGACACAAAGAAGGACTCTCGGATTTTCTATGGAAATGATTCCTTCTATGTGCTTTTTAGGCTTCATCAGGTAAGTCTTGTTTTGTTCTGGAGTGCATTTTAGATAAGTGATGTTTTGATTGATCTCATGTATTTTCTCTATCATTGATTGCTCTTTATCTCACAAAATTTAACAGATACTGTATGATAGAATAAAAGATGCAAAATTTCATTCCTCGTCTGCTGAAATGAAATGGAGGGCTTCAAATGATACAACGCCAAACGATTCGTATGCGAGGTGGTTTATCTTTGTGAGTTTCATTTTCAAACAACTTTTAGGTGATCAGTGTTAATTACCTTTATTCCCCCCTTTATGGTGCAGGTTTATGAATGCACTTTACAGTCTACTGGATGGTTCATCTGATAACACAAAGTTTGAGGACGACTGTCGAGCTATTATTGGGACTGCATCATATGTTCTCTTCACATTAGACAAGCTGATATTTAAACTTGTCAAACAGGTATATGAGCAAAAATTTAATTTCTTTGTGGCTTTTTTATATGCATTTTGTCCCCTTTCTGGCCTAAAGTTTGATTTCCATGTTTCTCCGTAGCTTCAAACAATTGCAGCTGATGAGATGGACAACAAACTTCTCCAACTATATGCATATGAAAAATCAAGGAAACCTGGGAAGTTTGTTGATGTAGTTTATCATGAAAATGCCCGTGTTATTCTCCATGATGAGAATATATATCGGATTGAATGTGTAGGTGTTTGATTCGCTTGCTTTTATCTTTCTGTTTGGGTTGGAATCCTAATATGATCATAAACAGCGGTAATTTTGATTTCATTGCAGTCATCTGCACCAACTCATTTATCCATCCAACTTATGGACTATGGGTATGATAAGCCTGAAGTGACTGCTGTTTCAATGGACCCAAATTTTGCAGCTTATCTGAATAACGACTTCCTCTCGGTTGTTCCTGAAAAAAAGGAGAAGCCTAGGATTTTCTTGAGGAGGTTTGTATACAGTGGACAATGCTGTTTATATTTTTGCTCTAGTTAGTTTTATTGATTCCTGCTCATATCACAGAAATAAACGCAAGTATGCATGTGGAGATGAAATTTCTCCTACATGCGAGGCTATGGGAGGACTAAGAGTTGTTAACGGTCTGGAGTGTAAAATTGCTTGCAACTCGTCCAAGGTAATCTGAAAAATTCAATGTCTCTTAGCATGTAAAAAAGCAAGCATATCTGAAACTTGACTCTTTCAACTAAAATGTGAGCAAATTGGCATGTGGTAGGTCTCTTACGTTTTGGATACAGAAGACTTCTTGATCCGGATAAAAAAAAGGAGATCCATGCATCAGTATATTTCATGCCGTGACCTAGCAAACTGTTCAAATGGTTATTCAGTTAGAGTCCAAAGGTTTCGTAGCTTGCTGTCTCGTGCGTGAAATGCAACTCTGCGACACCGGAAGTAGATTTGGTATATCTTCTTCAACTTTTGAAGCTGGTAGTTTTGTCATTGGCATCCGAATTCTATTTGAATCCATGCACACACAATGACCAATCAATGTAACGTGTTTTGCCCGAAAACTTACATATTTCGATAACTTCACTTATTCGTCTCATGCTTGGCTAGTTTCGAATTGCAGACATTTGATAAGAAGGCGCTGCAAATGGCGAAGTCTCAGTGCCGTAACTAGACCAACTCTCGTGGAAGTATTATTTCATGCATTTTATTCCTTTTTGGTCTTCACCTATCCAATAAAGAATGGAAGGGATGTGAGTCAGGAAGACTGTAGCATACTGGTGGCGGCATTTTGAGCGCCAATCGTGTAACATAGAAGTAATTTGTGATGTAAAAAGACTTGTGTTCAGTCCATGTCGCCTATATATCTTTGCAATCCTTTCGTGTAAGTTGTAACATCTCTTTTTGTTAAAGAGGAAAAAAGAAACATCTCTTTTTGTTACTTTCAATTGTCCACATTAACTTCTTCTTTTTTTTTCATTACAATAGAAATGCAATTTGGGTGAGTCAATGATCAAAATTTTGTTTTGAAATTGTCAAAACAATCAAAATAATTTCATTTTCAAAGAAATTGAAATGAATCAATTATTATATCAAAATTTCAATGTTTTAGGAGTTAGGACATTTTTCAATGAATATTTTGTTATGTTTTTTTTAAGGTGTTTCAAGATATTTTAATATATTTTAATCAATAAATATAAATAATTTGAAAATAAATTCTCAATTTTTATTTATTTCTGTTATATATTTTAAACATTTCAATTTTTAAGGTGACCAAAATAATGTCTCAAAATAAAATTTTGATCCTTGAGGTTAATGCTTTTTTTTCCCTTCAGAATCAAGGGTTTTTACTGGTGGAAAGTATATTCTCTACCGAGCTGGATAGTTGGTTGCATTAACTTGGTTCTACCTAGACCCATATAGATGGATGGAAACCACCAATCTCCATCCTATTTTTACGACCGGGACGGGTTCATCAGAAAACTTGATGTTGGGGAAGATCTTGGGCCGTCTAAGAGCCAGATGGCTCCTCCTTGGCCCTTGAAAGGAACCGCCATGAAATTGAAGGATTACTGGCCGATATAAAAGCTGCCATTAGCCGCGCAATGAGAAACAATTTGAAAATCACATAAATGATTCCTTTATCGCTAATTGCAGTTTGTAAAGTCCTGCAAAAGATCAGCTAGCCAAGAAAGATGACACGTAGAGTTTGTAACAGTCATCGATGAGTAGAGTTTGTAACACTCATCGATGAGAAACCGTGTGTTGTATCTCATGCAACTACAAGCATTCCATACTAATACTCAGCCAAAACCAACCAATGAGGCATGCTTGTGTAGCAAAGGACAAAAGCATTCCATACTAATACTCGGCCAAAACCAACCAATGAGGCATGCGTTTGTGTGTGTGTGTGTGTGTGTGAGAGAGAGAGAGAGAGAGTATCAAAAATTGATGTCAACTTTCAATACCCTCAAGTGTATAACCCCTTCTGCCAAATGATTCGGAAGCCAGAAGTATCATTCTTCTTGACTACCACCAGGCAACGGAAAGAAAACTGGTCGGCTTGTGTATAAAATGGATGAAACACAATTTCCCAAATTCAGGGCAATCAATTGAATAACTTGGACAACACGTAGTTTCTACAATGGATCTTGCATATGACCACATAATGAGCATTTCCAACATCTGAGTTAGCGCTTAATACTTCTCCATGTCATAAGCTACCGTACCTTAGAGCTGGGTACCTTCAAACATCATTGTCTGGCTGTCATATAAAGTCTCCCCAAACGTATATTTGCAGCAGCTCTATCCAGAAAAAAGCAAATATTAGGGGATAAATTACTCTACAATGAAAGGGGGTGTGGAGAGGGGGATCAGGTACAAATCACTGACTCATGCTTCTTCAGAAAATCAGGAACCCATCATAAGCAAAGATTCGGGTGATTCAGTTTACCTATGTTCAATTACTTGATTTTACTTCTTCAAAAGTTCGTTCTCTTTTTTCCATTTGGTTGGTGTGGGGAGGTTTAGAATTTAAAAACAGAGACTGAAATAATTAGATTAAATGTAGCAAAATGACACAAAATTAGATCATTTAATCATTTTAGACTTTTGCAGTACTTATTGATCATCATACATATTCTATTCATCATAATAATGACTATGCCAAGACAAGTTATAGGAACCAGGGTGTTACCATATACCCAATCAGGGTTTAGCAGTAGCGGTGTATCTGCAATGTCTTCTTCTGCAATGGAAGGATTAATCATTCACTATCCCACCACGTCCTTAGACATATTCATCGTCATGGCCCTCATGGCACACATATGAACTATATTATACCAGCTGAGTCAATAGAAATGCTATCGAAGTTTAAGTATGCCCAACCTCATCCAGCCTACACATAGAAAGAGTAAGCATATAAATAAATTGTGTATCATTAGAGAAGCTAATATCATACCTTTCCTCTTTTTTTTTCACGTTGTATTCCTCTCGTTTCATTGTTTCTAACTAATAATTGCAACACCACAAAGACACATCCATTTGAACCATGCATGATGAAAGATGTCCCATTATTTTTGTAAATGTCAATGTTGTCATTAAAGCAATTGCAAACAAAAAGCATATGACATGGCTTTGCGAAGTTGATTCTAGTAGGACACAACAGAAAACAAAGAGGCCTACAGCATTACTAGACCCCAGAAAACTATCGGCTAATAAGATTTAACCACAAAAATTTGCAGTTACCTTTGTCCAATAAATTTTCATCCTGCCAGTTCACTAATTGGTGGACGGTCCATGATGCTGGATGCAGTCCTCGCGTTGCTTTGCAACAGCGGGTCAATATCAGGCAACTTAGGAATCTGAAATCAAGGCGACAAGTTTCAAGTAACTTCTTCGTTGACATAAGCAGATATATGATGTATTAGATTAAAAAAAGACAGCAAACGTTTAAGAATCCAGACAGAGGTGGGCTATAGATACGTAACTACACACCTACCTGAGCTAATAAATCAATCGTTCGCCGCAAGAGGCGAGCCAGATCTCCTTCGTCCATAGCACAGTCCATCATGATTTCCCTCCAAGTAAGGCCGGAAGCCCAAGCTTCAACCATACCAGAAAATTGGTTATCCAAACAGCAAGGTATCTGTAAGCAGTGAACATACTTGTTTTAGAGTTGGATATCAAGCAAACCCAAATACTGTCAAAACATATGGTCTTATATAACCCCCAAAGGACTCACCTTTACGCCGTGCTTTTCTTGAAGTTGTAAAAGGGAGCTTCTTTGGTCATCCAAAAAGTTGATGACTTCTGTAACAGTGGTGGAAGGTTCATATATGTAGCTGCGGAAAATAAACTGGAATCAAAAGCTCTGGGAAAATTTTTGAATCTGGATGACCAGTATTCAAACTAAAACTCAAGTCTATGACTTAATCCAAGCATTGCTGACTCAAGTTGCACTTTACTATAGAGACTAGTTAGTTGTTGACTATAATGCCATAACTTTCAGCAAAAGTTGAAATACATCAACAGATTCAGATTTTGGCACACTATCAACAGCAGGACATGCCACAGTTGTTCTCAGTTTAGGCACAGCAGCATACCCGGCCAGAGTATATGTACTCCACGCTGAGGATAGTATCTACAACTTGGTTAAAGACCACCACTTTTATTTCAGAATTCATTAAAAGCTTTTGGGAAGACTTGGGCCCATGTAACCATATGCAATTAAATACACAATGATATAATTCCAAAACTATACATCTGAATCGACTCAATCGATTTCCATGGGGTGCTCCTATTCCCCAGAATGCCAAAAACTGCATAATGTGCCTTGAATTTTGACTCTCGAGTGGACAATAAGAAATTTGATAATGACCACCATTAGATTACAATCAACAAGCAATAAGAATATATAATTAGGAGCTGTACCTGTAGTTGTTGGTACAACTACACAACAGCAATGAAGAGCGGTCTCAGCTTACCCATCGAAAACCAATGGACTGATAATATGCCACAATAAAAATAAAGATGATACCTGTGGTTTTTCCAAGGTCGAACTTTGATCCCTTCTGAAACTAGACTTCCACAGACAGAAGCAAGCTGTGCAGGTTTTAGATCCAGCAAAATTTTATTCCGAAGAACCATTGCAAGCCACAGTTCATTTTCTCCTCGAATAGCAGCTGCTGTTTCACCAAGGGGAAATATCATATGTGTATTGATATCCAATGCCCTAGTTTCATGAATGACATTGCTGACCTGACAATGATTCATCAACAACACAAGATAATTAGCAAAACTTGTACAGTGACCAAAACAAAAAAAATACTTTAAGCTCACCCAAAAACAAGAACAAACAAACACGGCCTCTTCAGTACATATTTTCTGGAAATTGTTGTTTTTTTCACATCATGGTAACGATGTTTTCTGTCCTGCTCAAGTAAGTGAAGTTACAATGTTTTGCTTCTGGAATTAAGAGTCCCTACAACTAAACCTGTTTATGGTAGCACTTCTAAATCCTGATCAGTGTCCAACAGTGTTGAAATCTGAGTACTCACCCAGTTTAGTCCCCATTAATTGGGATCCTTGCCCCGGTGGGCTGGGTACAAACCTAAACTTCGACATTATCTCTACAAACTGCAAAGTGAGTGCCTTCTGAGTCAAACCCACAACATCACTTCACACAAGCAGGGGCATATTAGAGCCAATATAATTATGACTCTGACTTATATCATTTCAAGCGATCTTTGTATGAATTGTCCATAAATGAATGTGCTAAGCCGAAAAGGTGTTTCTGAGCCAATATCTGAGGGCCATAAGTTTCTTTTAGCCTCATTAAATGCATATAACTGTATTGGACCATATAAATCTGATAATCAGTATAGTTACAGAGAAGAACATTCTATACCAATCAAAAAAGAACAACATAGTACATTCTTGGTAAAGAATAGCGAGAGAAACACATAGCACAATTTCCTACTGTGTCATATTGTGGTATATTTTGCATGAGATCTCCCCAAAGAGTTAAATGTCACATTCTCCAGTAAATCAAAATTATAATCTTCTTGTGCAAATAAATAAATTATCATGCCCATACTACCTGCAGAAACTCCTTCCAACCAGATGGTTCAATTTTCTCTAGTCTATTACTCAGACGGTCTGCTCTAGTTTTCAGGCGTCGAATCTTTTCCTCTGTAAACTTAGCCATATCTATGATCTTCTTATATTCTTTAAAGCCTCCTGTACGTACTATCTTTTTCCTCAACCGGGAAACTTTATTCCTTTGGTCCTTGTAACGTTCTACTGCTTCATGGTATGCTTGTGAGAATTGTAAAACCTGACAAAAAAGAGGTAAGTCAACCATCAAACTCAGCCAAATGAGATTGCAACAAAAATTTAGCATGAACAGACACTAATAATGATTCTTATTACAATTTCTCTCATCATTACAATTCAAAGAGCGTCATTTCAACTATCAGGCTTCAGAATCACATCACCTCTGCAATTCTGAAGCAGGAATAAATGGATACTATTAACGAAGACTAGCAGCAAAATCCACATGTTGGGCATTGGCTAGTTACTATCAAAGTTAAACATTACTTTGGGTAAATGTTGATAAGACAAATGTCATGCTCTTAAATAGAAAGAGACAGTAATGTAATAACAACCATTAGTTTACCTCGTCGTTTTCGGAAAGACTACTCAAAACAGGAACATTTAAACTCCAAGACCATGTCTCCAGAGATCCTTCCTTGCACCATAGGCCCCCGTGTTCAGATTCTGCGAGCTTCTGCCACTGCATTCCCTCCTTGCCAAGTAGTATTGTCATAATTTCTCGTGGCAAAGCATCACCTTGAGCTAGGGCAACATTAGGAAAGCCTGTTCTATAAACAGTTTTTATCCACTTCTCTGTGAAAAGATACCACGAGTTATCTGAACCAAGAGACACGTAATAAGAGGGTTTGACATCATGCTGCATTTCACCAATGTTATGAATTTCTCCTTCTACATTCAAAGCAAAAGAATCATTGGCATGAACCTGCAAGAAGGAAAACGCTTGAACACATTCAAACAGTTCTCTCAATCAAGAAGATTTTAGTGCAAGGAAAATATTGAAACAGAATGTATACATAAAGGCACTAATAAATAAAAAATGAGGCCCAATTGTGCAGTAAGTCCCAAGATCCCTTATATAACTCATCGAACAGCAAATAGAAAGCAATTCCAAAGCAGGGAGGTTAGAGACGCAAAAATGCCAAATGATCACTTTTTCCCATTTCTCTAATTTCTGAAGAACAGAGAGTCAAATGCAAGCCCTCATACTGTAGGAAGATATTCAATTATCATCAATAAAGAAGAGTAAAAACAAACACCTTTCCAAGTCATAGTAGCCTTTACAGTAAGAACTAAGAATACATGAGGGAAATTGAGGTAAGCGTTGAAATATGTGAGGAAGATTTCATACTGCAAAGAGCTCTCCTGGGTGTCATATAGACATGCCATATACCTTGCACATGACTCTTCTCACTGAAAGTAAAATCCCTAAGCTGCACTTGCGCCTTTTGGCACCTAAGTGCATCTTTAACAATCTCACACTTCTAATAAGTATATCAGCAACTTCCTATTTTCTTGGTCTACATGCAGAGGACATCCTTCTTGAGAATTTGTATTACTTTCCTGAACGTCTATTTCAGCAATCCAGTAAAACATCAAGGCAATAAGATATGAGTTAAGAAAGAGATCAACACTCCTTCAAGAACTTTTAAAATGTGTCCAGAGAAGAATATAATAGTGACGAATGACTGGCTTACGTCACACCTTACGTGTGGCGAAAGATATGAACATACAACAAGGTTCTTTTGCAATAATACCCCTATAAAACTAGTTTTAGATTAATTTTGTTGACACAATGCCACACAAATCAGATGTAAGTTTTAACATTCTATGACAATTATATGAGTCACGATTTTTCAACGTGAAAGTGACAGAGTCCTGGAAGAGGCTTACAGTGAACAACAATAACTACAATACAGCTACAGTTTGCCATCAAAATATGACTTCTGCTATCATAAAATGCGAGAAACAATCAATCTTAAAGAAACCACAATTCTAAATAACAAAGGGGTCAGAATTTTGGTGCATGGTAGTCTCCCTAACAGCTGAACAAATCTCACCTAAATTATCTAGGCATTTGCTTGGTGAAGTGTCACAAAACATTTGCTTTATTAGGTCCAAGGGCCAAGGCAAAATCTTAGAAAAATAATTCACCTTTAATAAACTACGTAAGCTCTGCAAAACTCGAAAACCTGAAATACCATAAGTCACATCCTTCAATCTAAAGCTATCCTCACCTTATCAGCATATTCCAATGCCTGTTAGCAATTGTTGAAATACAATCATAATGGAAACTGTGCACTCTTACATGTTTTACACAGAAAAATAAGAGCAATTGCACTAAGAGGCGGAGGCATGGAAGCTAGATCCAGGTAACCATCAAATCCTGCAGAGAGAGCCAATAAGTCAGTATGGGCACCTATCATCGCCTTATGAGGAGTATTTTGGGGGGTTGGGGTGTAGTGCCTTGTGGGCTGCAGCAACGGTTCCCTAGGGGCAGGCCGCAGGCGTGCCCAGCACACTAGTCGGCCGTGCCTATCGACGCTACATGCCTTGCGATAGCCACTCAACCAAGTGGTGATCGTGGCATGTCGTAGAGCAGTGGCATTGTCGGCCCACGTGATTAAAGCATGTGGCAAGCCAGCTTTGTTAGGTTCCAACTTGTAGCATGGCCCTGGACAGCACATCATCATGGTAGCATGGCTGTGTGCAGCACTTTGTCATGGCAGCCTAGCTAAGTGCAGAACAAAGATCGTGCCATCCCGTTCTTGTGCAATACTTGCCCAGCTGTGTGCAGTTATGTCGGCCTGGCAGTGTGCCCATGCACCGCAGGTCGGACATGGCAGTGCGCCCCTATGGAGGACTATACTTGCTTCCACATACCACAAGCTGGTAACAATGAAGTCCAAAATGGTGATTTGCTGCTTGCCTGTTATAATTAAATCAAACAGATCCAGAACCAGCAACCATTAAGCTCCCCTATTTATGTCAGATTTATAGAGTTTCATGGGGGATTATTTACAAGCGGTTTCATTCTGCTGTCAAACCTTTATCAATTGATGGAAATAGTGGGTGCCAAGAGATGGGGCTCTCAATGAATTTAATACTTCTTAAAATCCTAACCCATAGTTGGCACGATTGTCTGCTGGTGAAGTTGTGGTAGAAGAGAACTCCCCACACCCGAAGGGGAGAGTAAACGTAGCTTACTGCAAAAGAAAAACCGTAGGACACTATTTAAGATTGTGTTGCAACTTTCCACACAATCAGATACTAATGGAGACAGTAGGAAATGGTAAGCACCTCTTCTCGTCAACTAGTCATGGAAGCTTTCCAAAAAAGTAAATTTCATGCAAATCCACTTTATGCATAGAGAACCACACCGCCTCACATACACATATGAGTCAACCAATCTATACGCCACAAAGTGTTTTTCGATATCTAGCCATTAAAATAAACCTCCACTGGGCATCCTAATAAGGCATGTCCTACGCATTAATCAAAACAAATATCAGCCCAACTCCTTGTTCCCTTCCTTTTGCATGTCTTCTTCCATTCCATATTATAATGAGCAAAATCCTCTAGTGCATACAGCCTTACATATCAATAAAGCAGGCAGCCCCGCCCACAAGGCTCCTGCCACTGTGTGAGGCAGGGATCTAGGGAGAGTCAAGTGTACGCAACCTTAGCCCAATCTCATATATCAGTAAAGCACCTTTTGGCTCTCAAATTAAAAGTTGAAGAACGTTTTCAATTGCTAAACAAAAGTTGTGCTTATTGACCTAATTAGAAAACAATATCTTTTGTATATACAAAAGGAAGGAAGATATAGAACACATACCATGTCCTTAAGTTTTGAACCATTCAGATAATTAACCTCCCCCAGATAAACAGCAGGAATTAAATGTTGAACTCCATCGGAATCTTTATATTGCAAGCACATGAAAGGTAAATGACTGTCTTCAAACTCCTTCAACAGAGGTTTTAAAGAAAAAAGTCTCTCCAATTCCATCTTCTTTCGTAGTTCGGTCCGCAGACGTTTTTCTGCCTAAAAAACAAAAACCGACTGTCCATAATAAGCTATATGATTACATTTGTACTTCAAGTTTCCGGCAACGATCAATATTACTATATTGTAGTTAGTTAGACACCAGTAACAATGCAAAAGTAATCAGAAGAACAACAAGATACAAACATGACGGAAATTTCAAATAAAAAGACATGCTTATGCAACACAATAAGACCTTCTGCAAATCCTCTGGCTCCTTAATTCAGGCCTAATAAAAAGTTAGACGAGGATTAGACCATAGGAATGATGTTTAGGAGGAGCCACTACACTATGGCACCCTAGAATGATGGGAAGAGAGATAAGGAACCAAGGCAGCCGGGATGAGAGAGGGAGAGCAGGGGTTTGCACAAAATTGGTGGTCTTTGTACAACCAATCAGCTTTCTCAGGCTTCTATCTGATGGTGTATAAAATCTGAAAAGTGTGAACTGGGAGGAGAGCTGGTAAAGCTCTGTATTCTCTTGGTATCATCACTATCCATGCCAACGACTTACAATCCAGGAATTGTTTCAGGATGAGAATCAGATTGCTTATTGCTTGCTCAGACTTGCTAAAGAAGGAATAGTGAGAGAGGTTTTATCGTGTTCTATGAGTGAAAGCCTAAAAGGCCATACATAGCATAGTAGGATACTAAAATGGTATGAGTGTTACAGCCAGTGTTTCGCATACCTACTTGAAGTTTCTTGGAGCCAAGACAAGCAACTAAATGGAAATGAGCAGTGGAAGTTCAGTTACCCTCAATTCTTCTTGCAGATCAGCAATTTCCTCATATGCCATTTTCGTTAACAGTTGCTGGCTTTTTCTATCAATAGCTTCATCACTAATTTCTGAAGTCAGCATTTCAATCTCCTTTTGTATGTTAGCAAGCTCCTCTTTCGCAGCGAGCATGACATTGCTGCCAACATAATTACCAAAACTCTGCTCAACTAACTTCCTTGCTTCTTCCAAAGTTCGTCCTGCTTGAGAAACTTTTATGTCATCTGTTTCACCCGATCTACAATTAACTTTTGCCCCCTGCAGAGTAAAAACAGATGCAATCCTTCACCATCAACATACTTAGACAAAACTAATGATAGGTTGACATACATACCGCAAGAAGATTTAGCACCATTCCATATGAGGCAGTAAATTGTGAAACAAGAGGTTCAAGTCCGGAAAAGAAAAGCTTGCAGCACTCTTCAGGCCCTTCATATGGAGTCTGAATGAGAACTACATGACCCTTTTTATCAATGCCCCGACGTCCAGCACGCCCTGCCATCTGAAACAGTTCATTTGAGATTAATTGAATACGTCCACTTTCACCCCTTTTGCTGAGGGACGAAATAACAGCGGTCCTAGCAGGCATGTTCATTCCGGCAGCAAGTGTCTCAGTAGCAAAAACAACCTTAACAAGTCCTCGTTGAAACAGCTCTTCTATGAATGATTTCCAAAGAGGAAGACAACCGGCATGATGTGCAGCAACCCCTCGGAGAAGGCCTTTAACAGAAGACTCCCTCACAGCATCGGGGTACTGAATACGAAATCTCTTCAAGGCCAGTTCAACTTCACTCACCTCACACTCATCAAGGAGCCTGAAATCTTCAAGATACTGAACAGCCGCATCACATCCTTTCCTGCTAAAGATAAACCACACAGCTGGAAGCATATCCCTCACCTCAAGGTGCCACAAAGTGTCTACAACTTGAGGAACCTGAAATTTAAAAGAGTATTGCAGGTTATCCGGTTAGTTTTCCATTCTTCTGAAGAGCTATAGGATGATGGTGGCAGAACACTCATCCTTAATTGCTGAACCAAAAAGAAATAATACCCAACCACCGTCAACAAGTCATACACAAGGTTTAAGTCCCTACTTGACAACGGCGAATGGTGTTTATTTCATTCTTTGAAATAGGAGATATGTTCCTTTCATGTTTCCTCGAAGTTCTTCTTTTAGATCCCTCATCCTTGAATGAATTAACTCCTGAAGAATCAGATTGCATATAGTTCAGCAACAACTTTCTGTTCCAGTCAGAAACAAAAATTAAACGTTGTTAGTACTTCATGCTGCAAAATGTTCACCATATATTCTAGGGCAACAAAAGAGAGCAAGGGCAAAATTGAGAGAGAGAATGAGATAGACAGACAGAAGAATCACTGAAAAATATAAATTAAGAAAAGAAAAGGACAAAATAGAGAGAAGTGGCAAAACAATCTGTAAGCACTACTAAATTTATACATTGATCCTCCATATCACACACAAAACATATGGAAGGTAGCTAAAATGCCTGATTACTCTTGAGAGGGTTTTACAGAAAGATATATTTAAAACCAATGAGATACAAAAAAAAAAAAAAAAATCTGCCTGAAATATTCTTACAACACCAACCGTGTCTTTCTTTCATGAAAGCATCACAACTTTCTTGCAAAAAGGGTTAAAAATGAAAGAAAAACAGTACCAGACAAAAGTATATTAGTACATGAATATCTACCAGTGTTCCAAAGATCACTGCTGTAAAATCCAGGGGTACGGACAAAACCGAGGCACTAAATGCATTGCATTCTACAGTTTATAATCTATAAATAAACTCTCACAAGATGCAATAGAAATTACCTATTGATGCTTGTTCCTTTCTCATCAAGAAGAGGCAACATAGCTGTCTTTGTAGAGAAGTGCCAATTCAATGGAACTGGACGCTTGGATGATGTAACCAACTCCGTTTTACCATGAATCTTGATGTAACAAAAAAGTGAAAAGAAAACAACAGCCCATTAGTCCAATAAATACTCCTCTAGTGGATTCTATCTCAATCATACAAGACGACTCATCAGTGTATAAGAGAATAGCAATTTATACTCATGCTAATGCAGGGTTAAGAATTTTCAGGTCTCTTATTTCCCCTTAGAAGTAACCTCCCAAAATAACCATGACTATTGGCATAAGTAGGCCCTTGACTCATTACATCGATTCATCTTTGATTTTCTTGTAGACATGATGTCATTATGATGACCTGATATGTAAATAGTTGCTAAATAAATTCCCTGAACAGCGAAAGAGGAGTTTGTAGCAGAAATGAGAACCAAATAGGGCAAGTGTAAAGAACACGATTATTATAAACTATGCACAATGTTCAAAATATTTTGAAAGCATGATGTGCAAAAATCATCTGAGATAACTATATTACCTGACCAATCCAACCAGCTAACTCATCTGGATTTGCAACTGTAGCTGACAGACATATAAGCTGAACTTCTTTTGGACAATAGATAACCTAAAAAAGGGGAAAAGTACAGATTCGCACAGCAGTCAGACTATTTTCTATGAAAAAAAAATGCACGGAAGAACTTCTGTACATAGAACGATAATGAGAAGAATAGATACTACGCACTATCTCTTCCCAAACTGTACCCCGAGATGTGTCACTTAAATAATGTACTTCATCCAAAACAATCACATCAACATGGAAAAGTCCACTTCCAGAAGAAACCATTCCAACACTGCATGTAGAAAAGAGAAAGAAGGATTTTCAACAAATCCATTAAACCAATAATAAACACAACCATAGAAGATGTAGCAATTGCATCCAGAAATTGGAAAGAAAATCTTGTCTAAAGCACTAGTACTATAATATAATGTAACTAATAATTCCAAACTAAATGTATGAGTAAACATAGGATGAGATGAAAAGACATTAATGGCAACAAAGTTTTAAACTCCATCCAAATCAGAAAGTCTAAGTTATAGTCGTAAAGTACATGATTACATATTTACACCCAACGGAGGTTTCTTGATTCTACTTCAGATTTTCCAAAACCTTTTTTTTTTCAATTGAAACGTGTCTTCCGCAAGTAGCACATGGTGTGTTACTCGAAGGTAAATTGTAAAAAAACTAATGTACCTTTGGTATAACATATTGCGAAGAATTTCTGTGGTCATAATTAGAACCTGAGCATCTCTATTGACTGCAGAATCTCCAGTCAGAAGACCAACGTTGACATTGCTATCACCGAATGTCTCACTAAAACACCAGAAGAACCCCAACATAAACAACAAAAGATTCAATGGTTACGTCGAAGAACACGATATATTAAACATTAATTAAATAGCATACCGGAACTCACGAAATTTCTGATTAGATAAAGCCTTAAGAGGAGTGGTGTAGAATATTCTCTTTCCTCTAGCTACCGTAGCCACTGCCGCAGCTTCGGCAATCAATGTTTTTCCACTACTTGTCGGCGCAGAAACCACAACTGAAGAACCTCTCAGAAAAGCTTGAATCGCCAATCTCTAAGAACAATTAAAAAAAAGCAAATACAAATCAATGAATTCTTATATTTTCAAAACAAAAAAAAAATTGTAACTTTTAGGTGAAAACGAAAAACTGAAGTATAACCTGGAATTTATCGATGCGAAAAGTATAAATAGAAGCGAGTTCCTCGACATCGATAATGTCTTCACCGAACTCTCTGACCTCATTGCAGATCCTCTGAACTCTGTGCCATTTGAATTCCTCAAACTTCGACTTGGTCTCCAAAACATCCACCACTGAACTTTCAATTTCATCCTCAATATCTTCAAATCCATCGGAAATTTCACCAGAGCCGACGACGTATTCATCAGCGGCTTCATCGTCGTCGTCGTCGTCATCTTCATCATCTTCGTCGGAGAGTTGTGTCTCTACAGGGAACACCGACCTCTTGTAGAGTGTTCGTAATTGAGAATTTTTTGAAGTCGATGCGCCGAGATTTTTGAGGCAGCAAAACCCTAGGGGTTGAAGAAATGGAAAAGCTTTGCGTGCGGAGGGTTGGAGAGAATAGGCTGTGGGAATGTGTGAGAGAGAGGAGCTCATGGCGGGAGAGATTTAGAGTTGTTACGAGCTAAAGATAACAATGCACATATACCATGGACTATTTCGGGCGTGGTTTTAGCTTAACGGGTCCGGGTCAATCCATCAAATCACATTCAACAAATAAAGCGATACATATCAAATTAAGTTTTATCAAATTAAGCAAATTCCATCATCCTTGACCAGCCTTAGGTAGAAAATAAGAAACAGAATATAAGACTAAATTTTGAAATTAAAATTTTACAGTCAACATGATATGGCACATTCACATACTAATTATTATTATTTTTTAATTCTTTTGTTTATTATGTTTAGTATCATCGTTTATTTAGGGCCACTAAATTCAATTTAAAATTTGATCATAGTACTATTAACCTCACAAAAATATTGTGATATACTACTTTTTGTTTATTTTACTAATTGTTTTACTTTATATTTAAGTGTTAAGGGCAAAACACATTTTGCTTCTTGAATGATATTAACAAATTTAATTTGCACTCGTAAAAGTTTATTTTTTTTCCACTACATATTAAATAGGATAAATTATACTCACAATCCCTGACATTTGACTAAATGAAATAGAGACCCTTTGACATTTCTACAATAACACGGAGACCCATTATTGGCGTCAGTGACTCGCGTTAACACAAGTGATAAATGATTATTTTAATCCTTTAATTTATTTTAAAATAAAATAAAATAATACATAATAAGTAATAAAATTAAATATATTATCAAAAATTAAATTAACTTGCAACAAACTCCATCATAGCCTTTACACCACCGATTGACGTCTCACTCATCCCTTACACTATGACCATTGCCACCACTCATTCTCCTTCTCTCTCTCTATACCAACCTACAACAAACCTCGTCACACCCAATCCAACTGCCACCACTAACACTATTCCAAACTTATCACTCCCAACCCCCCCCCCCTTTTTATTTTATCTCTCCACATCTCTTTTTTTTTCTCCTTCTCAGATCTCCCAGCTCCCCCCGCCCCCTTCCTTATAACAAACCCCATTGCCCCACCCTCAACTGCCACCACCACTCTAAATCCATACTCCTAACTCCTTTTTATTTATTTGTCAACTTTTCTTCTCTCTTCCTCTCAAATCCCCCCCTCTGATCTCTTCCTACAACAAACCCTATTGCACCCACCCCTAACTGTCACCCTTCGCCCATCACCATCATCACTCCAAACTCAATCTTCCCAACCCCCCCCCCCCACTACCACTGCCATTATCATTTTTAAATCACCACTCTCAGTTTGAACTAATTATCCTAGTTGATGGTAATTTTTTATTAATTTTAATCAAAATGTAATAGTTTAATGTTAATCTTTGATTAATTTTTATAATTGCATAAAATAATGTTGGTAAAATGATAAATTATGATAATTAGTGAACAATATTATCTTAAAAAATGTTGGACATAAAGGGATAATTTTGAAATTAGATATATTTTGTTCCATGATATCACTGTTTTCTGTTAGTCAAACTAATGGCGGGAAGACAAGAGGGGTGCTTGTGTCATGATTTTTAAATCTCAAAGGGTTGTCATATAATTTTAAAAATATTGGGGGCCTCCTGTTATTTGGTCAAATGTTAAGAAGAGTGAGTATAATTTACCCTATTAAATATCCCAAATAACATTCATTATTATCTATGTCAAATCAATGTGTGGCGTACGTCACAGAATTTAAAAAAAATAGTAACAAAAGTTAGTGCCATATCCAAATTGTAATTATTTTTATGACATTATTTTTTAAAAAATTTAATATTTGAGGGTATAAATTAATAATTTTAAAAAAAATTAAGTTAGAAAATATGATTCTCTTACTTTTCAATCCATACTTCTAAACGGACCCCTAGTGACCCGTTTGATTGCACCACTAAGCCGAAGCTAATCTCTTGTTTTTTTTCACCTACAGTTCACGCAAAAAATCTTTCTTAAATCTAAAAAATAGTAAAAATTTAAATTTAAAATGATTGAATTTGCAATTCATTATAATTACCATTTCAGTCACCTTTCGAGTTGAGTTAATCCCATGTTGACCATTTTAAAAGAATCAATCTTACAGTGATATTTTATGTATTAAAAAAAAGGTGATATTTTTTGTTTTTAATTAAATATTAGAATATTATTATTTAATTTTCTATTCAACTACTCACTCCTTTCTCCGATACTTTTCGTCGGTGCCTCCCCTATCTCACCAAAACCTTTCCGTTTACACAGTTACACAGATCTCACCGGTCAAGCAATCCAACGACGGAGATGGCTTTGACTCGCAGGAGCTCCAATCTCCTGAAATCCCTTACCACAATCAACCCCACCACTCGCCTCTTCTCCACCTCTTCCGATTCGTCCATCACCATCGAGACCAGCGTCCCCTTCACCGGCCACAAAATCGACCCGCCGTCCCGCTCCGTCACAACCTCGTCCTCCGAACTCATGACCTTCTTCACTGACATGTCGCAAATGCGGCGAATGGAAATCGCAGCCGACTCACTCTACAAAGCCAAACTGATACGCGGTTTTTGCCACCTGTACGACGGCCAAGAGGCCGTCGCCGTCGGCATGGAGGCTGCAATTACCAGAAAGGACAACATCATCACCGCGTATCGCGACCATTGCTTATACCTTGGCCGTGGTGGAACCTTATTGGAAACATTTGCAGAGCTAATGGGGCGTAAGGATGGATGTTCAAAGGGAAAGGGTGGTTCGATGCATTTCTATAAGAAGGAGAATGGTTTTTATGGAGGGCATGGGATTGTGGGAGCTCAAGTGCCATTAGGTTGTGGGCTAGCTTTTGCGCAGAAGTATAGTAAGGAGGATAATGTGTCGTTTGCGCTTTATGGAGATGGAGCGGCGAATCAGGGGCAGCTGTTCGAGGCCTTGAATATGGCTGCTCTTTGGGATCTTCCTGCGATCTTAGTTTGCGAGAACAATCACTGTAAGTGCCACTAAAAGAGAATGTGATTTGATAGATTATGGATTGTTGTATTTGTATGTTTGTTTAGGTGGTTAAGAAATGATTTTATATGAATGTTTTTGTAATGTTGCTGCATTTCACTGTCTTTACGTATGTAATTGGGGAAGATGATGTGATTTGATTGATTTTGGATTGTTGTTGCAGATGGGATGGGGACGGCTGAGTGGAGGGCAGCAAAGAGTCCAGCCTATTATAAGAGAGGAGACTATGTTCCTGGTTTGAAGGTGATATTGAATAGCATTTGTTGTGGTCTGATTTTGTGTATGTGATTGCTTGAGGAGGTTGAGTACTTGTGCTGTTTTATCTTGCTGAAATCAAGGTTTGGTGTGTGTGAGAATGTGAATATTTGCTTAAAGATATTGGCTGTGGAAGTTTATGATTGTGTGCTAATTTAGAATGTGAAGTAGTGGGTGTTACTTGGCTTGGATGTATTAGTCTTTCTTCTTCATAAATGGTTGTAATATAAGTAATGGAGCTTTCTCCGGTCCTTCAGTTTTTAACTTCTTGATGTAATATGGATTACTTTGTTTACTTTTGGTGTTATTTCATTGGAGGGCATAAAGTTTGATTTGTATGACTTACCGTTACTTAGATTTCCAAAATATGTTTTTATCTCTAAATGCTTTTCTATGGCATTTTCTATCTCTTAGATATTTTCATCCTCTTCCGTTTTACAGGGCGAGTTTTGAAGATCTTTTCCTGAATTTATACTTAGCTCGACTTCCTATATAACTTAGAGCTGTGTTGTGTGGCTGCAAGTGGTTTTGACAGTTTATGTTTGCTGGTCCTTAGTTATACAGTGATTTTATACTCAATTCTTGAGATTAAGATGTATTAGATGACTGGTGCAATTGTATATTTTTTTTATTCGCAGCTCCAAATTATTGTCAGCGGAAGAAAGAAATTTATCATGACCATCCCATGTGTAATTGAACATTAAGGCTTGATAGGATGAGTACACAATCCTAAGTTACTTATGTGATTCTATTTCTATGTCATTATGTGTTTCTTTATTCGGTATATGTGGTCATACATTTTACTTTGAAACAGGTGGATGGTATGGATGCCCTTGCTGTGAAACAAGCATGCAAATTTGCAAAGGAACACGCTTTAAAGAATGGACCAATCGTGAGTACATTTATCAGTAATTGGTCTTATTTTATGACTTGTCATTCTACCCTTCAACAATTTTAGTGGTTCCTCTCTTTGTAATGAATCATAAGACACAAAGTAGGAGTAGGTGTTTTTGGGTGTTCCCCAAGTTAGCTGTGGAGATGTTGGACTGCCCCTCTCCTTCGCCCCAGTTGTTCAATGAGGCAGAAGAAATAAGGGCTTTACATTTACTTTACTCGTGAGAGAGATGTTTTACTATTTGTATTTAAACTCAGGATGTATATACCCAAAAAATAAAAAACTCAGGAGGCACGGTCAAATATATTCCCAAATTCTGATTTATTTTGTATTTAATAATATCTTTGTTTAGTGCCATGCTGTTGGAAATTGGAATTACTAGAATGAGATATATATGCTATATGGGACATGTAGAGTTATCCGAAGGGGGTTAGGATATTCTTTTCTTACACCAAATTGATGTTAGATAACCGCATATACCCAAATAACTACTTAATAAAACAAAAGTGTCTTTACCATAAAGGACAACAATAGCCCAGATCATTTAGATTTAGCTGTTTATCCTACAACTTATATTTTAATCACAATAAACTTTTTAACCCCAGTAAATTGTTTAACTACACTTGCATTAAAAATTTGTTAATCAAACTTGTATTTTAACTATAGTAAATTTACCCGCTTTTATTTTTATTACAGTAAAAACAATTCACAGTTGACTAAAAGTAGAAGTGCATGTTGGGATTTCACACGATTTAAATCCACTAACAAACACACACAATCGAAGAACAAATCAAGAATATAAAGCAATAAGAAACAAGAAAGAACAAGACACAGATTTTACGTGGTTCGGCAATTTGTCTACGTCCACGAAGCTGCAGGGATTTCACTATTGAGAGAGTTGAATACAGAGAGCAGCTGTACAATCCACGATTAACCCTAATCACCAAAACAACAGGGTTTATATGTCCTACGCACTGAGCTGTATAACGGGCCCAAAAAAATTTTCCTCGGGGGCGTTGCCCCCGAACCCCCACGAGGCTTGTCCATGAGCACTACGGCTTGGGCCTATCGGCCCAAGCCTTCGCTCAATGGACTAAGCCTCAAAAAAAATTCCATTAAAAACCATACAACATTACTTCGAGTTGGGTCATCATCCGGATCACATATACAAACTAGACTCCATAAAAAAAAAACCAACAGTGTACACTTGGCCATGCATTGCATGAGAACCTCCCTAGTGTTTCAATAGGGTAAAAGGTTATTATGGAAGCTGCATATTGCCGTTTCTCAAATCTGTGAAACTTGTACGTTTATATTCTTTTGACATACAACTAAAATACCTTGCTTTTCTTTTTGAAGTTTACCTTTTTCTTTTGGTCAGACTTTTTAATGTTTACTTTTGTGTGCCATATTATGTGCTATTATTGGAACTAAGAGTGGCATATATCATTAACGTCCGATTTCTTAATTCTTATTTTCTTGATATTGGTGTCCAGATTCTTGAAATGGACACATACAGATACCATGGTCATTCGATGTCTGATCCTGGGAGCACGTATCGCACACGTGATGAGATAACTGGCGTGAGACAGGTTGATATATTCCCTTTTTTCTCTCTGATTGCAGAATATATTAAAATATCTCTCTGAGATGTCTCGTATGATGGGTATTCCTTAGTTTGGATTTGCTATGTTATTTGCAGGAGCGTGACCCAATTGAAAGAATAAGAAAACTGTTATTATCTCATGATATAGCCACTGAGAAAGAGCTAAAGGTATCTGAAGATCTGAAACCCTTAGTTTGAATTTACCCCTACCAAATTCTATGTTTGAAATGATCAATTACTTGATCATTTGTTCTTCTCTTTATCATAAATGAGGGTGATCAATCTCATTTTCCTGTTAGAGAGTAACGTCTTATTGAGGTTTGCTGGTTGATTTTATTGAAATCTTGTGCAGGATATTGAGAAGGAAATAAGAAAAGAGGTAGATCAAGCCATCGCAGCAGCTAAGGTAAAACATGGCATGATTTGTATTTGTAGTCCATTCAGTAGTTCTAGAATAAGTGAACTTCGGAAGTGTGAACATTTTTGAAAGCTTAGCTTTTATGCGTTTTTTTGCATTGCTGGTGATTCATGATCTTTTTGTTTTGTGTGTTTCCAGGAGAGCCCCATGCCTGATCCTTCTGAACTTTTCACCAATGTCTACGTGAAAGGTTATGGAGTTGAGGTAGATTTTAGCTCCTCATGATCTGTTAGTGTTTATATTATTTCAAAAAATGACGACATCTTTATCAATCTATCAATCAGTCAGTTTTTTTTGGGTTCACCTCAATATCGCTAGGCTATAGTTTTATTAATCCAAAAAAGAATTACAGTTAGCCAAGGGGGACGTAATGAGCCTTACTCCTCTAAGAGCATCTCTAAGAGAACATGTAAAATAGTTTTTTGCTACAGTAGTACTCTAAATGTAGAGCATCACTATATCAACTTGTATAAATACTTTACAATTTTTTCTCTCTCCTATCCTTACACACCTCTATTGTCCACTCTCTGTCTTTCTCTTCGTTCTCTCTCTCTCTCTCGCCCTCCAATAGTCCGAACAAAGGTACAAAATATGTGAAATAATATTTAAGAGTAGTTAAAATATAGAAAATCTATTGAAGTGTGAATTGAAAAAGTGAGTAGCTAAATAGAAAAAATGTACTTTTGGATAGCTAAAATACAAAATCTTGTTGTAGATGCTCTAATGCAATCTAGGCTACATCATTTCAAAGGAATAATAAAAGAATAAAATTAAAAAATGCACGCTACTTACAAATAAAAGACCCACAGATTGGCTCTTATAAGAATTGAATTTTCCCACTAATGTCTCACCTTCCTTTACGTAAATTTCCGTTTTGAAGAAAATCTTGGAGAATAAGTAATCTTCCTTGGAATGGAATATCATAAAATTCAAAAGACTTCCAAAAAATCTGCCACTATATTTCCTTCCATAACAAACCTAATACCTTGAAGGACATCTTTAATTGTCAGCCACTTATACCATAGTTTCCAACTAGGAGAGATCCCTTGATTCACCATATCAATTAGTAGCTTAGAATCGAACCCAATGATAAAATCGTAATCTGTTAAAACCAAGATCCATAATTATTTCCAAATCTTCCAATAAGGCCAAACGTCTGCTTCCAGATTAGTACAACACCCATAGGAATACGAAGCCACCACTAAGACGTGTCCTTCATGATTCCTCATTGTAACTCCTCCTCCCGAAGGACCTGGATTTCCCTTGCAATAGTATCTGGTAATGGAAATTTACTTATCAGATGTGCGCCAATAGTATCTGGTAATGGAGGCCCACTTTGTAATTTTATGTATGGCCCTTTGTTACAGAATTCCAAATGCTCTGAAATGAGTTAAGTGCACATGCAATGCATGTGATAAACAATTTACAACAGAAATAAATGTAGGACATTAACAAATCTGAATTTGGCCATGTTTTTGGATTTCCGGATTAAGTAAATCTGATAACTAGACTCACATCACAGTCACACCGATTACCTGAACCTAAGTTTATGAAACATGGAGGCTGATGATCCTTTGACAAGGGGATAGTCAAAGAGCAGAAAGAGAAATGTTTTGGAGTTTGCAAAACAGTAACTAAGAGATTCAAATCTTAAAAAACCATGATTTTTGTAGACTTGCAGCATTGGTATGATATTCAATTTTGATGCTGTTTTAATTCGGAAACAACACAGACATATTATTCAGAGTAAATTTCAACTTAACAAAACTTTATCTAAACTATTTAATTTTGGCTGCATTTTTGAGAATAATATTATATTTTTTAAGATTACTGATTAGTACTAATAACTCTTTTTTAATTTTAATATGTTGCAAAAACACCATAATTTCTTCAACCTAAATAAGCAGAAATTATGTGGTGGAACACAAGTTGTGGGATTTCATCCAATATAAGTTTGGCGATGGTGGTTTGATTTGTTTTTCTTGTAGCAGCGTGTTAACAAATGAGATGCTATTGTATTGTAGGAGTTTACATATGTAGCATATGGTTTTTGTTATGATACATACGTGTCATTACTTCTTAAAAATATAACAGATTAATGGATAAATGGTGATCAGATGACTCAGATCAGTCTTTGGTAATCATTCTTAAGCTTGTTATTTAACTGGCTTGACATCAGATTTTCATTTGGTGATCTGTTGCAGGCATTTGGAGCAGATAGGAAAGAAGTGAGGACAGTGCTTCCTTAAAGCAAGCATTGGAGAAATTTTATAACTTCCCCTCCTCTGGACCAGGAGGAAGAAAAAAGGAAGAGAGAATTTAAAAAATAAAAGGTGTAACGAAATCATCTCCCTCCTGGATGCTTCCTCAGCTTCACTTGTTCTGATTTTGGTGTAGAGAATGGTGGTTTCTCTGTTCAAGGTTAGAATCTTAGAGTTCTGATGATGTAATTTTTGGCGCACGGCTCATTGATTTTCTTGCTTGAAAATTGAAGATGGATATCTTCTTACATTTCCTAGCAGCATGTTTGTTATCATATTACAGTTTGTTGGTTTACTATATTTGGATGGTATGAGAGGAGGACACTAGACAGTGCAGAGTGAGGCTCGTAGCGAGGTTATGTCGTGTGTTCACTTGTTAGGACTGATAATCGAGCCGAGTTTTGTGAGCTTGAACCAAGTCTGTCTAGCTCATTTTTTTAAAAGAGCTTAAAAAATTGTTCAAACGCAGCTCATTTAGAAAATGAGTTGAGCCTAAAACAAGTTGAACCCATATAGTTTGACTATTTTATATATAAACGAGCTAAGTTATGCAAGTTTGAACTGAAGTTTTTAGGCTCGTGTTTTAAGCGAGTTTAAAAAATTATTTAAATTTAACTCATTTAGAACATGAGTTTAAGCCCAAATAGCTCGGCTTAATTATCAACTCTAATCACAATGCTTTGAAGTTACCGTTTCTTGGAATGAATTTCAAAACACTATTTGGTTAAACTATTGACCAAAACTTGAAAGAGGTGGCAAATACTGTTGTGAACGAACGCCATCAATAGTCACTCGTGGTCACTGATAAGCACTGTTACTGTTGTGTGAGCCATTCTGGATGTGGTAATCTGATGGATTTTCGATAAATCTTGCGGGCGAATCATACCATTATTTATGGTCTATAAGCTCATAAAAAAAGAGTAGGGACCATGAACCCTCTCCAGAGTTGGGTGCCAAAGACTTAGAGTAAGGGACAGAAGATTTCAAATCAACATTTAGAGAAAGATTTGTGGAGCTGGAGTATATTCGAGGATTAGTTTAGCTCGAGAATCGTCTAAATCATTTAAATTTCAAATTTGTAATCTCGAAGTAATATCGCCTAAAGTATTTTTGTCTAGAGTTCGATTGCATGTCACCGTCTTGGATAAATCCAATATTAATTTTATCCATTAATACAAATTCGATTCAACACAAAATTTGAAAATAACAAGATTAATTTGACATATGTAATAAATGAGTTAAATTACAATTCAATACAAATAACACGATTAACGGATACTGTAAATAGAAAATAAATATTTTACAAGTATTGTAGACAAAAAATAAGAATTTTTAATTTTTTTTAAATAGTATTATATGAGTTGTTGTGAAATTAAATAATTTTTTATTGACACAAATATTGATACAAACGCGACACATACTAAAAGTGACCTGATATGAAAATAATACAACCAAAAGTAGCATGACAAGATACGACACGATATGATTAACACTCTTAAATCATCCAAAGGTCTCCCAAGCTCGGTTGTCAACAGCACACAAAGGATCTATTTGTTTTGTGGGCGAGGGGAATTGATGTCTAAGGTTTGAGAAAAATAGTTTAAAGGACCCCCAAATCTTATGTTTGGACTAAAGTTTCAATTCTGGATTACCAAACCGAGCCTGCAACTGACTCGGATACTAAACCCATGATTATAGTTTTCGTCAAACCTAAAGGGTGAGTTTCGAAAGATGGGTTAACGGGTTAAGGATATAAAAAATAATTAACATGAATATGAATTAAATTGATTAAGAGGTCAAATAGTCATTCATAGAACAAATGATTGTTAATAATTGTGATATATCCGTGAATTTTATATGTATATGTGTTACATATCAACCATGAGTATAGATTATCTGTCCTGCACTTGTAAAGAGGAATTTGAGGAATTTAGATTTGGAAGATTTTATAGAATTCAATCCAAACCTACCCAAAAATTCGTCCAAACCAACACAAAGGGTATCAGGTGGGGCAGATGGGCTACCTGTCCTGCAATTCTATGGCCTACAATCAGTCTACCGGACCAGTCCAGTCTTAAAGATCTTTAGCGGACTATGCTTCAGGTGGATCTTCTTCCATCTGTTTTTTAATGTTCTCAATTTAAAATTTTTCGGGCCGTTGATTCTTGGGTATTAACCAGACAACTTGTCTGGCTGTCCACATATTCCAGCATGGTGGGCTTGAGATGGCCATGATCCGGTGGATCCCTGTGCGGTGATAAATATTATTGGGCCTGAATTCAATAATGGCATGGTTTAATGGAGAAAACCTTGAAAAAAAAAAAGAGTTCTTTGGAAGTCGATACACCTAATTAGACTTATTTGGTAAAAAATATATAGAATAAAAAGTGAGTTAAAAAGACATAAATGTCCATTTTAAGGTCATTTAATTTAAAATCTCTTATCTTTAATGCACATTGATTCATGTCTGTTTGTTAATACATATAAATACAATGCACCTTAATTCATATGTATTTGTTAATATATATATATATATATATATATATATATATATATATATATATATATATATATATATATATATATATTTGTTGTTAAATCTCTTATTTAAATTTTAAATTATCTTTAATGCACTTTGATTTATGCGTATTTTTTTTTGAAAGGTGATTTTGTTTTCAAATTATATTTAATGCACCTTGATTCAAACGTTTTTTTTTGAAAATAGTTTTATTTTTAAATTAATTTAATATCCAAATAATGTAATAGTATAACAATAACAGTGTAACAAAAACACTGTAACAAAGACAGTATAACAAATACACTGTAACAAAAATAGTGTTTAGTAATTTTGTGTATATGGTAACAAATTCAAAACGAAGATGAACTATTTTGAATGAAATTATATAAAACTATATGTTTGATAAAATTTAATAGTACAATATTTTTGTGTAAATAGCTTGTTACACTATTATTGTTATACTGTTACATTGTTAGTGTTACACTTTTATTGTTGCACTATTACACTATTCGGATATTAAATTAATTTGAAAATAAAATTACTTTCTAAAAAAAAATACATGAATCAAGGTGCATTAAAAGATAATTCAAAATTTAGATAAAAGATTTAACAACAAGTATATACATACATACATAAATATATATATATATATATATATATATATATTTGTATTTATGTATATATAAATATATACATAAATATATATGTATTTATGTATATATAAAAATGTATATATATATATATACACGTATATATATATTTGTTTGAATTTCAAAATTTGTATATATATATATATATATATATATATATATATATATATATATATATATATGTATGTATTAAAGTTCAAAATTTGTATATATATATGTGTATTTATGTATATATAAAAAAGTATATATATATATATATATATATTAAAGTTCTCCCATAAAATTAGGAGATTTTAATGCACCACTTTTCAAAGAAAAGTGGTGAATTAAATACACATGAATTAATGGAGGGCAAAAATGTCACAATAAAAATAGATAAATTTAAATTATGTATTTGGATACAAATAAGTATCAAAATTAAGTAATTAATAACCCTACATTTTTTAATGTGTACTTTTTGCCAAATAAGTCTAATTTGGTATACCCCTTACAATTTACCCTAAAAAAATTAGTACCATACTATCATTTGCAAATTATGTGATTTTTAAACAAATTTTGGAGGTTATTTTATAATATTTTGGAGTTATTTATAATTTTTTATACCCAAATAACCCACAAAAATTATAATTTGAATTAAGAGTGACAATTTCTGACACAACATTAAAATATGATTTGAACTCGACATGAAATTAGCCTGTTAGCGCTGATCTCAACATAAATTCGTAAATGATACGATCCATTAACACGAATAATAAATGAGTTGAGTTATTGTCAAACACGAAATTGACATAATTAACACGTTTAACTAATATTATAGAAATAAAATATTAATTATTTGTTATTTTTTATTAAGCATTAACAAAATTATTAAACAAAAAGACATTTTTATTCATTATTATTGTTATGTTTATTAAATTAATTATTAATTTATAGAAAAAAATATGAGCATAAACTCAATTAATTGATAATAAAATCTTACCGTTAAATTATTTATTTGAAGTTTATATAAGTTAACATGAATACGAACACAAATCCGACATGAAAACAAACATGTCAATCAACATGACACGATTAATTAAATAGGTTGAATTAGAATTAATTAGTGCTCGACACGAATTCTCAATAGCACGAATCCAACACGAGATGATTATTACCCCTAATTTGAACCATAAAAATTATAAAATCAACCATCAAATTATAAACTTTTTTGATTGTAAATAACTTAAAAAACTTATACCTCAACTTATAAAATTTCTGGAAAAAAAAAAACTTATAAAATCTGGTGAGATAGAGTACTGAAATATTTTGTTGGATAGCGTAGTGTTCTCGTTGTTTAATAAGCACCTCCGCCGTTTTGACAGGTGAGCGGTGGTTTCTTTACGGCTTCCCCCACCTCAATTTATTCCCTTCACGTACGTGGGATTATTTAGATAAAGTGATGAGAGAGAGGAGGGGGGGGGGGGGGTATGGACAAAGAACACCGCCTGACAGCTTGCACCAATCGACTACAGAATTTCAGCAGTTCATCATAAACACTCTGTCCCTTTAAAAAAAAAAAAAAATCATAAACACTCTGGGCCCCAATGCCCATTCACTTACTCAGTGGATCCTATGCACTACGCCAACCTCCATTGACTACACCGAGGAGCGATACGAAATTAGTGATTTTAACCTTTTTATATGTTATTAATTTTTTAAATAAATAGATTTGATATAATATAATTAGTAAATACATTGATATGAATAATTTATATACAATATGAATGGTTTTTTTTAATACGAATACTCTAAAATTTGATATAAATTCATCTCATCCGACA